GGGGGGGGGGGTTGCCCGCACTGGTAACGTATAGGAGTGCGCAAGTAAAGGTATGACTTGAATCTCCGATGGATGATGCGGTCATGAATCAAAATCACCGCAAAACCTCTACCGCGCGCGTGTCCGCCGATGACCGTGAGAACCCGGGTGGAAGGTCGACCACTCAGAGGAATGGACCAATTTTGCTGGAGACTGTATTCATTTGCAATTAGTATTGTTTTCACTTAGAAGTATCTGTCTCAAATGAAATCTCTTTTCCAGCAGCAGCAACATCCGCAACAACGTGAGTTCTTTTAGAAGGGCTTTCAAATATAAAATTGGTAAGGGTTGAACGAAGAGCGGGGTCTATACTCCCTGTCCAACATCAAGTAGGGCCACCTGAAACACTTCAAGCACATCGCTATCATTCCCATTTGAGTGTGGGACTTCGTCATTTCCGTTCACATTCAACACTATCGCAGATTGATCGCATTTAAAAGCCTCGGTTGAAATCCGGAAAAGTCAAACGGGAGCGCATAGTACATGGAACAAGGTCCAGTTCGACCACGCCCTGTTATCTCATCCAACAATTCTAAAGTATGCAATTTAAGTGAAGTAATGGCAGCCATGGTGCAGAACACTGCTATGATGGCGAAGAGAGCACGAAAATTGGCGTTCTTTCAAAAAAAAAACTATGAAAAGGGAGGGTTGTACAATAGCTGTAGCGCTGTCTGTAAACGTCTGGGTCTCTCACATAAGCGTACTGTTCGTCTCGTTCTGTGAATAGTGCAGCAATCACGAGGCCAGCCTAACACGTTGACTTACAGCGTGCGCGTCTGCCAAACCAGTTTTACCTCCGTTCGCCCTGTCCAGGCGTTTTTCAGCCCGACAACGTCCCATGTACCATGCTTGGGGGGCCATAGGTCAATCCAAAAGGAAGATCCTAAAAATCATTTCATCGCGAGCTGCGCCTTTAAGGCGCTTAACTAGTAGCAACCAACTTGAGGGATGACTTGGGAGACATTTCCTGTTGGCAAATAACAGAACAAACTTGACACCCAAGTCCTTTGGGAGTTTACACCTCAGTGAGGCCTCAGATTGCAGAGAAGAAAAAGAAGAAGAAGAAGGAGACTATATGTCAACGATAATCGTGGCTAGTGGTGTCGGAATCGTGCTGATCGCCATACTTATCGTTTTGTGTGTGATGATTACTCAACGAAAGCAACACCAGGAGAAAAAGAAGTTGGCGGAATCGATGAACAAGAAAAAGAAGAAGGGCAAGAAGGGAAAGAGCAAGAAGAGCAAGAAAAGCAAGAAGAGCAAAAAGGGTAAAAAGGAAGAAGAGGAAAAATCGACGCAAGGTGCTACAGATCAAGTATCTAACCCGCCTGCCGACGGAGCTCCTCCTCCTGAAGCAACTCCCGAAGCTCCTGGTGGTGTTCCTCCTCCAGATGCCGGAGCTGCTCCTCCTCCTGAAGGTGCACCACCTCCAGATGCAGGTGGTGGTGCGGGTGCTCCTCCTTTTGCTGATAGAATGGTGCGGCCTTTCTATCATTTCTGAATGGTTCAAATGGAACGGGTGAATCTGGTTGTTTCTAGGATGGTGGTAGATCACCGATGTACTACAACCGGAACCGCCGGCAGAGCAGCCAGGTAGGACTCCATAAGGATTTCGAATGAAAGTCAAATGCTTGGCGTATTCCCAATAAGCAACAACCGAAGTCCGCGGCAACGCAACAAAACTAAGCCTTAGTTTCTGGAAACCTGTAGAAGAAACCCCTTCGCCCTAACGAGTTCCCTTTACAGGATGAAGACTCTAGCAATACGGTAACAACTGCCACGACCATAGACGAAACAAGTGAACAAGAAATGGACTACAGACCGATAGGATGGAATCTTGCAATGAAAAGCCATCTAGCATCTGCACAAAAATCACAAGCAGCAGAAATTTTACGTAGAATCTCATCATAGGGTAAAACAGTTGGTGACATTACTGTACGCTACCGTATACACTAACATTTTATCGCATAGTAGTCTTATGGGAATCGTTCCTCTGTCCGTCACGATGTTCCTTTGTACAGACATACTAATAAATCTTGTTTATCCTATACAAAAAAAAATAGGAAGGAACGAAATGAAGTAAAAATACATGCAAACAACTACTTACAGACAGTGTATGCTACAGGGTCCAACCGTTTTCCAGCTTTTATACAGTCGGCAAACCAGTTTTCTTTGACGAATACGCAGTCTTCAGGGAAAAGCTTGCGGAAGTTCGAGAGTTGATTCGCACTCCCAATGATATCAGGCGGAACTACTGCATGAGTGGCGTCGTTCAACTCCGCTTCTTTTTCCACTACGTACCCTCCGTTTTCCACAATCAAATCTCTGAAAAAAGTGAGCAATACATGAAAAATAGAAACGCAAAAAGTAAACAAATGGCGACAATGGCACGGTAAATGGATCGACTCCTATTGAAGATTCCGACCAAGGTACCTTAGGAACAGCTAGTGCAAGATTCGAGCTCACAACTTCTTGAGGGAAGGTCCCATTGCCGACAACTACTTGCGATTACCTATTCCATAAATGAACGGCATGAAGACTTACACAAGCTTTTCAACGGAGACCCGCTCAAAACCATAAACAGACACAACGAGATCTGTGAACAAAGACGAATGTTCCGGAGTGTGGTAACCGTCCCCGTCCGAGTCACTTCCAGCGGTGTCTTTTTCAGAAACTTGCCTACCAGCTGAGGTGCTGAAACAGAGGGTTGAGCTCAGCAAGAAGGGGGTTTGGCCTCAAATGCTGCTCCCATGAGCAAGCCTTCCACCGATAAAATACCAATATACCGATAAAATCATCAGTATACATCGTAATCCTACCTGGGCTCCGGGCTGAATTTTTCGCGCTTGCGAGGAATTCTTCGCAGTCTGGGGTCCCGCCTGGTCCTCAACTCGCTTAGTTCCTCATCGTCGACTTCCTCTTCAGATGAACTGATGGGTTCATCATCGCTGGTCTCTTAATATGCTGTTGAATGAACGAGCGTCACCAAAAAAAGTCACTAATGGATAAAATGAAGCTAAGCCACATGATACTACTGGTATGGCGGTATGGCGGAATTTTCGGGTCATGCCATCTGTGTTCAGAGTACGTCAAAAACATCTCAAATCATTTTAAGATCGGTGGGGAAGTTAGCTTACTGCGAAAGATGATTCCAAAGTTTCCCGAGTTTCCCTCCCCTCTACCCTACCCTACAATGGATGCGCGCGATAACCTAGTGCCGATGAAAACGGTCGAGGAGGCTTCTGGCTCACACTCAATCTGTCGGGTGCAGCCTATTCGCGCTGCGGTATAAAGTGGGCTATGTTCAAGCGTATTCAGCAGCAAACCTGCGCAGTGCACGACATGAATCTAGCTTTCCTTGACGAATTCCTAGCATTATTCCAAAAGTTATTCCCAACCATCCCATCGCCGTCTACTACTAGTTTGACCGGCAATGGTTACATAACGATTAAATTGATTAAAAAGCAGCTATGGTCAATCTGCCACGCTTTTAAGCCTACACACCTAAGGGTCGTACCGCCAAACTCAGTGTAACTCTACCTTCATCGCCTTCACTCCAATCGTGCTCAGAAGCACTGCTAGAAGCGCTTGTGCTGTCTTCTTCTTCCTCCTCCTCCTCGGCATCCTCTGAGCCACTTTCAGTCTGCTGAGCGATCTTGGCCCTATTGTCAGGCTTCCGCGGTGATCTATGGGGACGCTTGCCTTAAAATCACAAAAATCTTAATCATAAAACTTAGCCCTTAATTATTGTGCACTGTAATGGTAGAACTACTAACTAGGCCCAGCGACAGCTTGTTGCGGAGATCGAGGTCGTGGTTCGTCTTTTTCCTCATCCTTGTTATCCTCTGAACCACTTTCATTCTGCAGAGCAATCTTAGCCCTCTTGTTGGGCTTACTCGGCGATGTATTGGGACGCTTACCTAAATTCCACACAAACCTTACTCTTAGGAACTCAAACCTTACTCATTTTGCCCAGAAATGGTAAAACTACTAACTAGGCCCGGCTGCATCCGGTTGTGGAGACAAAGCTCGTGGTGATCGCTGATGACGAGCAAAATAGTAAACATACGTTGGTACGCCATGATTCGTTATACACTTTTTGAGCATCCTCTCTACCGTATACCAGCTTAGAGTCGTACCTAAAAATGTGACCTTACGGTAGTTGGGTCCCATATCGATTCTTAGAACGAAACAGACTTACCGTAACCTATCCGTGCCATGTGCACACTAGCATTATTATGACGTGCATATTCTCCAATTCGCATGAAACATTGCTCCAAGAGAGCCGGTCGCAGGTCATCTGAAGGAAATGCCAATTGACTTTGAAGAATCCACCAATGAAACGCGACTGCACGTTAGTAATTATACTGGTTTCATGGCAGCGAATAATAAAAAAATTAAAAATGAATAAAACCTGACCTCTATGCTTACTACTCAATGCAACAAAAAGTACCACATCCTCTTTCCATCCTGAGGATGTCGAAGGCTGTTGACTATCGCCACCAGCAGCAGTTCCTTAAATGTAGATATTTATCGGTCAATGTATGTATATGGAAACAATTGTATATCCCCAAGTATGACCTCTGTTTTCTTTCACATCCTCCACTAAATGACAGTCGCCCAATTTCATATCTCCCATACGGGATATGAGCTCGTATCGTTCAGCAATCGTTGGATCTTTAGCTCGTAAAGCCGAAAAAACACCTCCATTGCCGAACTTGCCTATATGAAAAAGCCTTTCTACATATGAAACGACGGTGAGAAAAACAATCGTGACTTCAAAACTCACTCCTAGTTAGTACAAATAACTCACCACTGTTGTCTACACAATGCAGAATAAGGCACAGTGTAGTTTTGTCCTCATCGCTTCTTTGTGGCTTCGTAACATCCCCATGAACATAGAAGAGAACAGAACCTTCCTAAAACAGCAGAAGACTGACCTAGACTATAGAAGATGACCAAAATCTCGAAAAAATACATGGTATTATCGAAAACCACCCATATAAAGTAATGTAAGAACAATTAAAGATAGAGCGAGCAAAATAGTCAACTTTCTAAAGCAATCCTTACCTCAACCTCATCGCCATACTCAGAGTTATGGTTCCCCACAGTAGGAAGAGGTAGTTTACTTGGTTCATAACCTGAAAAGCATATTGAAGTAGGCTGAGTAAAGATCCACCAATTCGAAAATGGTTGAAGAATAAAAACTACGACAACATGGTGAAAGGGGAAGGATGGGAGAGGAGTGTGATAACCGATAAGCCACAATGATTGGTCATGACAAATGTAAGACCTGTACAGGTGTTTATAGTATGCGACTGCAAAAAAAAAAAAAAGAAATCCCGCTCCAATCGCTAATATTGCCGGGGTTGCCGACTTGATGTTGGCACAATGCCGGCATGCGTTTACGCTGGCAACACCCTGCCGTCATCACAGCCTAGTCATAGGTATTGATCAACAGCCATGGCAGGCTCAATCTATGAACACAGCAGCACCCTCGGTCGCGAAAAGGAAGCCACCTGAACTGTATGCAACACTTCTTTGGCTTGAAAATCCTGACGATTGCGCTGTAGATCGTCTGCATCTTCCGCTCCACAAAAGGGTCTTACTACCACCAAGTTTCTGCCCTCTGGTGAAGCATTACATCCAGTCGGTAAACATCTTCTTCGAGAGAACTAAGCTGCCGTCTATAATGTCATCATACATACCACCGAGACCGTTGCTGCGCAGCTCACGCCCATTACTGTTTCTCACATATCGAGCTCTCTGCCCCTCTCTCTCTGCCTGTAGTTGTGCCACATGGACCAAGTTTTCCCACCAACTAAAGTACATATGGGCCAGTGTCGTGGCCCCCGCTCAACCACTTAAGAGACCACTCCTGAAGGGCGCGCGAGGGTCCCGGGGCGAACTGCGTATTGACGTCCTGCGGGTCAGGCAAAGCTGACACGTGCTCTGGCCTACANCTTCAGTGTTTACGTCTGATATCGTCGAATCTAGTCGCGACTGCCACGCGCTTCCGCCGTCGGAGCCCATTCGATCTCGAAGAGATGGCGCAATAAGATCAACGTAGCGATCGACTCGAGTATGGAAGCCATAAGACAGCGGGCAGTTGCAAGCCACGTTTCCACCCGTGACTCGTGGCGCTCTGATTTCGACCCTTGTGTCGCATCGTCATTTGGTTATGATTGTGACACTTTATTGCTTGCTTTTACATGTCGTATTTCTTCTATTTCTTTCTTTGATTAGTGCTGCCATATCATGAAGAATAGGCATGATTACTGTGTTGATGAGTAAGCTCATAGTCGGTACATATGCCGTGAAATAATTGGTCCNTCGTATTTCTTCTATTTCTTTCTTTGATTAGTGCTGCCATATCATGAAGAATAGGCATGATTACTGTGTTGATGAGTAAGCTCATAGTCGGTACATATGCCGTGAAATAATTGGTCCGTGTTGATTAATGTAAATTAGGTTGTGCATGAGTTAGACCCAATCGTAGAAAAGTAGCTCACGCATCGCAATGGTCAGGACGTAGGAGCAACGTGGGGGCTGCAAAGGCCAGAGCCAACGTACCGTGTCGCAAAGGGCGAGAGCGAACAAGTTCCCGATAACCCTCACACCGACGCCGACCCTAAACGCGACGAGCCCCAATGCCCACCTATAGCGATGAACAAGGCGTTGCGCATAGGCATTACACGTTATAAAAGTTGATTGTCCACTATGCAATCCACAAAAACACAAAAGCACGCCAATACGTCAGAAAGAATACCTCAGTACAAGCAATGAGACAATATTTCACTCCTTTGCGATTGTTATCGGTCAAGCAAATAGTGGATCTCACAGTCTTTTCAACTATCTCCTTTCACCGCAAACCTCACAAGGATGTCAAGCCACAAGCTAATGCTCAGTTTCGAACGGGACTCGAACACGCACCCATGCAAACCAAAAAGCTTCAGNTGCATGACAGCTGACAGTGATAGTCAAGCATCTTCATTCCGTTCAGAAACAATAAAAAACTGAGATGGTACAAGGAATCCTTTCGAATACGTTCCACAAACGGAACGTCTTAAAACTCGTATGGAAGCTCATGCATGACTTCTAATCGAAAACTACACAACGTCAAACAAATATAGTTAATTCTATGACTAGTGGTAATCATAGAATTAACTTTGTTGGAGATCATTATACACAGGAGGGTAAACGAAGGCATGACACCGCTATGTATGACATTATGCGAACTTTTTCAGTACCAAGGCAATGTTCACGGTGATACTCGACGTTTTTCTCACAGAAACAGGATCGTAACTCCTAAATCTGCTCTCATACACCTTAAATCTGCTCATTCACCACCTATGAACCAGCTCACTCACTCGGAGTAGGGCCAACTAAGGGTGGTCAGTGGCTATGGGAGCCAGCTCAGTGACAAAACGTCGTCGCACACGCAGAGGTCTCGACCAATCAATCCAGGACCCACGAGCCTGCTGAGTTGTTCGAGAAAGTATCATAAAGTGAAGATTACAACTGATAAAAAGGTTTTACCCATAGGAAGGAGAAAGGGAGGAGCTCGCTACCGAACCCTACTAAAACGTGAGCATTGCCTTTAGAAAACTAGGATCATCTTGAATACCGAAATCGGCATCGTCACCGTACTAAATGAGTATTGCAATAAAGATCAACTATACATACAAAAAAGACTGACAAGTAAGGGGTCAACCATCAATTCACTGTTTGAAGTAAATCATTTATAATTATGGTTTTTGCCTTCCAGAAGTCTGCAGCAACCAGCACAAAGTCTGAAAGATAGTAGAACGAGATAAAACAATAACAGTACCTATCGATCCGTTTCGGAAAACTGCGCTGTGACAGCGCGCGTTTCGTGCTGAATGTTGCACACAGACTTAGAAGACGTGGACTGGGCCTATTAAACGCTCCCTACAAAACCCTACTTGACAACGTACTTCATGCAACAACATGCACTTGATGCACAAACAAACTTGAAAAAAGGGAGCCTATTAATCCAGAGTTATCACCTCCGGCTGTTCGCCGTTCTTTCCAGAAGTGGGAAAAAACGGCTGCGAAACTGTCGGAGATGGTTTAAGGAAGTCCTTTTGGGTGAAAGCGGGACCGGATACAGACAGCACTTCAATCTCATCGTCATTCTCACATATCTTTCCAATATGAGAGGGAAAGGAAATATAGAAAGGACATTGAGCCAGGTTACTGTAAATTGAAGGGCCCATGTCGACTATTCCAATGTATTTCATTGAATCGGTCGTTGAATCAAAAGGAAAATTCCAAACACGAGCGTGACTGTTAGCACTAAGCGAGTTCGTAGTCTTACCATTCGCGGCCCACATTGCTTTTTTCTTCTCTTCCGCTGTTTTTCTACGTTTTTCAGCTGCTGCAGCACGATCTTGCTCTGCTCTCTGGAATCACGATGAAGACATGCGAGTACTAAATTAAACATCTAAACTGGAGAAAGCCTTACTTTCATTTTCTCCGGAGATAGGCCACTTTCCTCTTCGCCTATGCCATATCGTTCTGGAACAGCAGTAGCGATATCAAGGAAACCTATAATAACATATACTAAAGAGGCTTACCACAAGCAACACGACTCCGTTTCGTACGCCTAGTAGTGTTGGCTAGACTCAAAAGGCGAAGTTCCTCAAAAGCAGCCTCATCTTTAGCCGAAACTCGAAACTGACGTCCTTCGAACACTCGATAGTCGTTATAATCCGTATCATTTTTGTCAACTTCGTCCGGATCCAGTTGTAGCGCTGCGGGAATCTGCATCGAAACAAAACGTTAGCCACAGAGAAACGATGGAAAACCTTGACAAAATGCTACGGACCTGATTTTCTTTGTTCCCCTTCATTGGCAGCCACTCGCCAACCGCATTTGTTTCTCCGATGACACTCTCCAGGTCTTGATCTGTCTGTAAAATAGCAGGCAATGTGAATGACAGTTTCGCCCCACACCCATAGCTTCAGCTACCCACTACTAGTTTTATCATCATCAATACCCTGCTTTCCTTACTTTCGGGGAAAAAGCAACTCCTCACCAATTTGAAGCTTTCACTCTTTTGCTCCTTTAGAGTACCCAAGCATTGCTTGATCATTGTCATCATATCGAACGCAGATAACTTAGTTTCTGTAAAACTCAAGAACTCCCATCGAAAAATTCCGTCTTTTGAGCAGGAATCAACAGAAAATGAACTTACCTTCATTACCCATAACCCTATCAGTGAACTTTAGCTTGTCCCGAATACGAGCATTCATATATTGTTCGACAGTATAACGTCCGATTAGGCGAATTACGCGAACTGGTCTGAAGAAAATTATGAAGGCTACCTACACCGTAAGCAAATCCTTCTCAAAACTACACCACTGCTACTATACATAAGATGCTCCTGAGTACATAGTTTACCCAGCTGCTATATCATGTTGAGCTATTGCTCCAACATACTTGGTAGACTCCTATGGGTTCAACTCAAAGACTATTGAACAATGAAATCACCTGTCCTGTCCAATTCTATGACAACGAGCCATTGCCTGTATATCGTTTTGTGGATTCCAATCCGCATCCAAAAATATTACAGTATCCGCACCGGTGAGATTTAGACCAACTCCACCACTTCGAGTTGTTAAGAGAAAACACCAAGGACCTAAGGAAAACTGGTCACTGTGACTGTTGGGAACTAACATTGAGTACAGAAGGCAAGGTTCATAGAACAACGAGAAAATGGCTCTAATAGAAAAAATTAAGTAGCTTACTATCATCATCGGAGCTCTTAGTTCGAAATCTTCCATTTCTATCCTTCGCTGCTTTTTGGAACTCATTAATCGCGGCATAGCGTTCCTCAGCACGAACACTGCCATCGATACGTTCATAATTGTAGTCTGAAGAGGCAACTCTATGAAAGGTTTCATTACGACAAAATAACGAACTTACTTCGTAAAGCCATAAAATCCTGCACAATGTCTAGGACAATAGAGAATTGGCTGAATATCAGACAACGATGTTTGCGGGCTTTCAAGTAGCGCAGCAAACGATCCAGAATCTGAAACTTACTGAAACATTCTCTGATCGTCTAATTATTTCAATTAATACGGTAAATATTATAATTAAGGCAATATCATGAAAAGTATTCAGTAGACATCCAATGTGCATTGATAACGGCCAAATTTGGGAAATTATGGTATTCACCTGCAACTTTCCACTGGCCTCCTATGGTATTCACCTGCAACTTTCCACTGGCCTCCACGATGTGCTCACCTTCCTTGAACGGTTCAGGCTCAACACCTGGAAAGAAAGTTTTACTGCTCGTGAAATATTCAACATTCCAACATTCAATTGAGCAAAAAATCGCCAAAATAAAATTTCTTTCAATAAATCGAACTGTTCAGAAACATTAGATAAAGAGATAAGGAAGAAGAAGAAGAAAGAAGAAGAAAGAAGAAGCTACCTTTAAAGAGGTAGGGATGGACAACACATTTACGCAGCTGCATTTGTATGTTGTTCAAGGATTGCTGATTATTGCCGGTTGTTGAGACAAAAGCATCTAAACTGAATGATTTTAAAAATCAAATGTGAAATAAGTCAGCTATACCATCTATTACAGTGATACACAAGACCTCAGACGGAACTCACCATAATCTTTTGCTATAATGTCTAAGTATATCTTCTTTTGAATTTCAGTGATGTTGTGATAAAGTATCACCTAGAAAAAGCTCGATAAATGAACAGTTCAATTCAAATGAGGAAAAATTACGTCGGATACCAGCATGCTACTGAATATGCTAACGTCTAACCCA